AGATAGTGGATTTAGTTAATGATTCTCACGTCCCACTCTCTTCATACCCTTTTCCTTCAATCCAACTCCAACTCTTCCGATTTCCCAATATGCTCCAAAAAACACAATCTTGCTGAATAATTTTGTTTTCTTGAAACAGAGAGAAGAAAGATCAGTTCTTTTTCAATTATAAGGAAACGTTGTTTTCACTGCCAGCTATGACCGAGGTCCTCCATTTCCCTTCATCTCCAAGCACAGGCACTTCTTCTCCTTCTTCCCCTTCTCCACCACCCTTGTCATGTGCTCCCCAGAACTCTTTATCCTGCACAGTTGAGGATGGAGACGACGATTTCAGTGTGAGGGTTTGTGACCCGGAAGAGGAGGTGAAGCAGAGCAGAGATCAGTTGTCTTTGTTGGCTTTGCTTGTGACCCTTTTTAGGAAATCCTTAGCTGCCTGCAAGAGTGACCGGGGGGAGCTTTGTACCATGGAGATCGGTTGGCCTACTAATGTGAGGCATGTGGCCCATGTCACCTTCGATAGATTCAATGGCTTCCTGGGGTTGCCTGTGGAGTTCGAGCCTGAAGTGCCCAGGAGGGCTCCCAGTGCCAGGTACATATGTGTTCTTTCCTTTTCCATTGATCAAATTGTTTTTCTTGTTGGTGAATGATTTCTATTCAAATGTGAATGTAGCATTTGGGGTTAAACAGTTTTGCTTAATTCCCTGAACTATGGATTTCCTGCTTCCTTCCAATAATTGTAATGCAGTCTTGCTATGTGGAGCTCTTGGAACTGAATTATGGTGAATGCTAATAACTGTCTTTAGGAATGAGAATGTGAGTTTATCTACTTGAATGATGCGGAACTTCGGTGTTGATCTATGCAATGCAGCTCTTGTAAAATGTAGCTTCTCTGTCTCAAGTGTTGATGCCCTCCCAAAGGGGGGTGGGGGGGAGTATTGATTTTTGGCCTAATTGGTCAATGATAGTTGGTGAAAGTCCTGTTAAGTTATTCCAATCATGAATGTTATTATATAATTATGGAACAGTATTTTTTTAATGTTAAAATTTCTTGCTTGAGTCTTTCAAATTGCAATAATGTAGTACTCCCATTAATGGAAAGGCTATTATTAATCTCTATGGTTCATCCCATTGGATCAAATGCTAATGTACCTTACAGATTAAATACTGAAATTGGGGATGGCAGGAAGAATTTCATGCAGATGGGAAAACATTTTACCATTTTTCCACTTGTGAACAAAATATTAAAAGATTGCGACCGGGCCCACCACCTTTTAGACTTGTGTTGATAATGAGGTCATTGAAACTTCCAGCTCATTGTAGTGAGTTTTTCTTTTAAAAATCACAAACTTTTTGAGCTTCTGTTTCACCAATGCTAGTTTTTGGTAATAGAGGCCCTGATTTTGGCTTTTTGCCATTGGTTTTGGCTTATTAATGCACTCATAATCTCTAAATAGACCATGTTTTCTGACAGAATCCCTAGACTGAAATTTAAGATGTCATCTTGTTAATGTTATTTGTCTTTTCATACTTTATCATACATGTGGTTTGTGATGGATGTTTACATTTAAGTTTTATCATTAACAATGGAACATTGCTTTAATATTGGTCTCCTAAAAGTTAGACTTTACCAGCTTCTTGTAGCATGCATAAACATTCCTTCAAATGAATGCAGTCCTTTTAGTTTATATGGTAGTGCTGGCTGCTAGCTTATCTAGCTGGGTCTGATGTTAACTTTGTAGGAAAATGAAAACTCTCATAGTAAAATACACACATGAACACACAGTCATGTGAATCTAGTTAATGGAGTCAGGCTCATAAGGTCATACTTTCTTCAAGATGGCTTAACGTACCTGAGGACCCTTACATTAAATTGGATAGTGGCAGCGTACCATCAATATCTGCAACTCTAGTTCTTGCCATGACTTTGTTATTCTCACCAGGCCTCACCATATAGGTTCTAGTTATTCCATAAAGAAAAAGGAAAAAGGAGGATACAAACTTCTTAGTGCTTACGTGCTTTGGCAGGTTTAAATGGTTTAAGCTGTCTGTCATTTATCCTCTCCATCTGCAATGATGATTTACAGCATGTAAGATGAGAGAAATAGCATGCACGATTTTATTTGGAAAGTTGCTATTTTGGAAAAAGTCAAAAGTGAGTTGATGCTGCCTCTCAAGGGGTTTTGTAATCTAATGTGGCCTAGAAAGTTCTGAAAAAAAGAATCTAAAATTTTGGCTGATCACGAAGGCCTTAAAGATATTTTTTTTTAATGATTATTTTACATTAAGTATCTATATTAACCATGTCTTGTCCTAGTCACTCAACTATTAGCTTGCATGATTATTTCTATCTGTTATTTTTTCAATAACCTTTTCTTTCTCTCCCCTAGTGCCACTGTTTTTGGAGTTTCCACAGAATCCATGCAGTTGTCCTATGACTCCAGAGGAAACAGTGTGCCAACAATACTCTTGCTTATGCAAAGGCGCTTATATGCTCAAGGAGGCTTGCAGGTTTCATTTTCTCTTCTTGCCCTTTCTAATGTCAGACAGTGACACCTTGCATATAAATTTTGTTAGTATATATAGTTTCTTGGCAGTAGAGTGTACGCTTACTTTTTTATTTGGACATTCTTGGTTGCTTTCAATTTGTATTTTAAAAAAATTGTATCTATTTTATTGACCTTCATTTTACTTCTCATGTTATTTTGCAGGCAGAAGGGATATTTAGAATAAATGCAGAAAACAGTCAGGAGGAGTATGTCAGAGATCAATTAAATAGTGGTGTGGTGCCAGAGGGAATTGATGTCCATTGTTTGGCAGGTCTAATCAAGGTATAACATTGTAGCTTAATGTCAGTTGATTTTCCTTGAAATTGATATCCTGAAGTTTTTGAAAGCTAAATGCCAATTCAGGATGTGGTAATAAACTACTACTTCCAAGTTTCTCATTTGTCACGTCATCTTAGGATGAGAAAATTTTCTTCATTGGTTGCTCATTTACTCAGGTTAGTTGATAAGTGGCATGCAAATCAAAATACTGGCATGTCATCTATCAGTAATATACTTAATGGAGCACATCTGGATTTTCACTGAATAGACACATTGATATATAAGGGAAATTTAAGTATGGGGAAAATTGGCATTTTGTCAGTGGCATTGCCAACTTGGGTCATGAAATAGTAGTCTAGACAGGTTCCTGATCTTCAAATTTGTCTAATATACTTCTTATTTTTGTGTATTGATACCTTAGGCTTGGTTCAGAGAACTACCAAGTGGGGTTCTGGATTCTTTATCTCCTGAGCAGGTAATACAATGCCAAACTGAAGGGCAATGTGCTGAGCTTGCAAGGCATCTACCCCCAACTGAAGCTGCTTTATTGGATTGGGCCATCAATCTCATGGCAGATGTTGTTGAGCATGAATACCTAAACAAAATGAATGCACGCAACATTGCTATGGTGTTTGCACCAAACATGACTCAGGTGAAGTGATTGTGCTTTCACACATTTTGTTTTCCCAGCTGCAGGCAGCATAAGTTTATCAATGGCAGTAAATAAAGATGGAATGTGCCCCAGCGGCAGGCAACATAAGTTTACCGATAGCAGTAAATAAAGATGGAATGTGCCCTTAGCCCTAAGTTACATGAATTAGTTGTTTAAGACTAATTTCAGTGCTTTTCGTTTTGGATTTTGCTTGACTTTAGATTTGTTGGGTTTCTAATGAAAACAGAGGTTTAGATTTCAATAGAATCAGTTTTCCCTTCGGAACTTACTGTTGTCAACATATATATATTACAGATGGCGGATCCTTTGACTGCATTGATGTATGCAGTCCAAGTGATGAACTTTCTCAAGACACTTATCTTAAGGACTCTTCGGGAAAGAGAAGATTCAGTGGTGGAGCCAACCTTGTCATCTCGTATGGAGCCTTCTGATGAGAACAAAGATAATAGCCACTCACAGTCCTTGATTCGAAAAGCTGAAGAAGATAATGAAGAGAAAGATGAACCTTTTATTGCTGCAGAATCTGTCAAAGAAAGTTCCATGGATGCTGGTCAGAACAATTACACAAGTGATGGAGAGTATGAAAGTCCTATGCCCTCTGTGCAGAAGCTAATAGCTGATGCAGATCACGCTCATGAAATAACGTCTCAAGTTGACACCATAAACGAAACAGACATCAGAGCTGGCACTCGAGCAAGAGCTGGAAAGAGCAAAATTGGCCAATCAAGTAATTCAAGTCTTAAAAAGGGCCCCAGGAAAATTAACCGGCAGCAATCTACACTTCTGGTGACAACTCCAGTTGAGAAGACCAAGGGCCTAACCAATCTGACCCGAATAGATTCAAGGATAGAGCGTATTGAAGCTTGGCGGTAAAGGATGCTCTCCCTAACTGACTCATTAACAAAATTCCTCTGTAAGCTGCTTAGTTTTGAAGTTGTCACCCTAAAAATTCACGTATGTTTGCTCTATCTTTCACTGTGTTCCAAGTGCTTTGTTTAACCTCCCAAAGTCAAATGTCATGTATGAAACTCTGATGGCCAGAAACTAACATGTCAGCTTGTGCAAAGTGCTACTCCTTTAACATTGGAATCATGTTGATCTGGTTTCTTGTGTTCATCTACTTGATTTAGGCATTTGTTATCTTTTTTCCATGTGTAGGAAAACTCCACAAGCTTAATATTCTTTGCCTGATTGTCTCAAAGAAGGTTATTGGTGTCCTCATTTTTCATTGGAAAGGAAGATGGGGTTGGTGGGTTCCAGTTCTGGTCTGCATCCATTAATCCTCATGGACCACAAAATCATAGACAAAAGCTCAATGGACACCCACCCCAAACGCCCAAAAACACATTAGAAATTAAGGATCAACTTGCTGGAGCAGTCTGCATCAAAGGATTGTATATCTATCTATGTGATCATCCCCTTCCAAAAATGAGTGGACATCACAACGACTTAAATAATTTAAGGATAAATTTTTCTAGTGAAAGTATAGCACGAGATGAGTGTGGATTAAGAAATAAGAAAAAATTGTTTTTTATTGTATAATTTAAGATTAAAAAACAAAAGAGTGGACGTGGACAAGGGATCATTCAGAATAATTCCAAAAGCTAGTAGCTATGAAAAGTAAAGAAGAGAAAATTGGCACCCTTGCTGAGTTGCTGTGGCTCGAATTCCTTGTCTTATCCATTTCCAAGTTGAAAAGCTTGTATTGATCCTCGCTCTTTTGGGCCCCTTTCTCCGCTCCCATGACCCAAATCCACCCACTATCACAAAAGAATTTAATGGTGGAAAAAGGGTACATATTGTATGATGTAAATTGATTGATTTAGGTAAAGCCCAAGCACCTTGGAAATTTATCAAGCCAGGCCAAATTTCTACTTTGTTTTTTTTGTTTTTTGTTTTTTTCCATAAGATGATTGGCTACACAACAATACAATCTTTATTTTTCTAAAACCTTTTTCTTTTCATAACTCCTTATTATTAGTTTAGATGCTCAAACTCAACTTTTAATTTAAAATCTTAAGTTTTTATTTATTTAAACATTCCGTATGAACAAAATTTTAACTTTATTAAAGTTTAAGTTAAGAAATTGTCACTTATGGTTTAGCCTTTTAAATCCTGTAATGAATGATATAACCATTCTATTTTAGATAGCAATATTGGATATGTCATGCAAGCAAGGATATGATTGAACTGAATAAGACAGTGAGCATTTTGCCCATAAAAGATAAATTCCATTGGCAATGATCTAATCTTATATTGGAAAAGGGGAAAAAAGAAAAATCACAAATGAAGGTGCTTTTTTGGTTTTGTGAGTTTTGGGTGTAGCTCGGTAGCTTCATGGTCATGCCTACAGAAAAAAACAATTGCCTTCCAGTCACGTAATACTTGCTGCTATACTGCACACAGCCGCACCACTACAAATATCATCCCTCCATGATATGGCATATTCTTCTTCGATCACTTTCAACCTCAGAAGAAAATTGGGGATGGATGGAAAAACCTTTTCCTACTTTCCCACTTGCTCTCGTTGTTTTAGAAGCTAAAAGCCACTGTTAACAATTTTTTTGTTTTTTTTAGGGTGGTCAATCCTCATGATAATGTTTAACAAAGACAACTTATGGGAACTTAGCTTAATTATTAACATGGAAGACTACAACCCATGAGCAGGTGGATGAGTTGGCTGGAACTCTTTCAGTTTAACCAGAGGTCTTGAGTTTAAGCCCTGAGAATGCAGTTCTGTTAAAACTCATGAGGAGGGAGAACTTTGCCGCCCATAGGTTTCTACACGGCTCAAATCTGGATTAGTCAGTGGCCCAATAGGCTTCTGGATACCAGATGGTCATACCAACAAAAAAAAAACATGAAAGACTGCAGATTTTTTTTTTCTTTTTGTAAAATGAATTTTTTCTAAGAAAATATATCAAATTATAAAATATGTTACAAGATTTGAAGATAACAAAAAAAAATTGTTTTGTAATCTAGAATCGAATTATACAATATAATTCCATTAGATTAAAAATTATTAAAAATAAATTTTTTTTATTTAATAACTCATATATTATAGTGCGATGTAGTTTTAATTACAAAATATCATACTCATATAAAATAATTACTATAAAAAATTCATTACAAAAATAAAAATTTTTTGTTTTATATTCTAAAGTACATAAAATTACAAAATAAAAACTATTAAGTATTAACAAAGGAAAGACAGCCCCAATATGCACACTAATTTAATAATTTATGTCATAAAGTCCATTAACCTTTTTGAAAAAATAATGCCCACTAGAAAAACAAGAGGTATTTCCCAAACCAGTAGCAGCCATCCTTATTCCACTCCAAGAGAAGAGGGGCACCAAATTAATACTCCATACTTGATTTTTTCAACCCATCCCATTTTCTGCTACGCTGCTTATATATATATTTTTTCTTTCTCTTTTTCTTTTCTCCCAAGCATCACATAACAGGACTACTGCCAATCCATGGCTGCCTGTGGAAGCCTACAACACATCTTTGACAACCCATTACCCGAAAACCCAACACTGCTTGAATCCCTCTCTCCATGGAACCAAATCAAGACTGTTAAATCTGTTGATCAACAACCTTCTTCCTTCACTGAAATCTTCGGCGAACTCCATTTCAAGGAAAACCCTCCTCCACCTCGCTTCACCAGATATGGTAGTTGTCACAGCCACAGGAATAATGAAAGTTTCTCGGTAATGAACTTGGAGAGCTTGCAACTGTGCACTGAAGGACTAGGGGTTGAGAGCTCCGACGACGTTGTGGAGGACTTGAGCCAAGAGGAGAAACCGGATGTTGGTCCTCCGAAGCAACAGAGTTCGTGTGGGGAATTCAGGCGGTCGAGAACAAGTTACGGAGCAACGTATCCGCCGCCAATATCCTGTATAGGGGAAACAGGTAAACCGTGGGTTTGGTTCAAGCGGTATAGGCAAAACGGAAGATTTGTATTGAGGGAGATGAGAATTCCGACGCGGGAAATCTTGCGTGCTTGCAGAGAAGATGGACGTTTGACGCTGCATTTCGTGCACCCAAATGATGATGAGGGAGAATATGACGACGAGGAAGAAGAAGATCTATTAGATAAAGAAGAAGAAGAGAGTGAAGAAGACGAAGAAGTGCTGAAAAATGAAATCAAAGAGAATTTACCATAGGTAGGAAACTACTTCTTCTTTTTTCTTTTTCAAGTAGGTTCTTAAATTACAAGAAAACACAAGGGTCTCCACTGTTTTCTGTTTATTCGGTCTCTTCCAATTCCAAGGACTCTAGAATGCAAATTAATACAGAACAGAACAGAGTTCTATATTATGTTTCCTTCTGTTTTTTCCTTTGGTTTCTGGTGTTGTTTTCATTTAATCTTCTCAAGTACAACCACAGCATTTCCATACCCTAGTCTTTTTTGTTTTGATACTAACCTTCAATATTTAGAAGTTATATTACACTTAGATTAATCAGAAATCAAATAGAGTTAGATTCTATAAAAGAGAAAACTTTTTTAATATTTATTATCTATTTATAATATTTAAATTTAAAATTTTATTTAAAAAGAATTGATTTTTTTCTATTTTGATCAATAAATCATTGATTATAGACTTTGTTGTTTGGAGAGTAAGAAAAGAAAATCCCATTACATTGCCAAACTCATTTTCTTCATTTGCGTGCTTGGTGTAATTGTCACAAGTTAGGAGAAGAAAAAGTTGGAAGAAAATTAAGGCCAGAGGTATGTCAACGTATCCACAACATGAGATGTAGAACTGTGGGATCAATATCAATATCTTCATATGAAAAATGTGATTCTGTCACCCACTTATGCCAGCTTTTTGTGACACTTGTCATCGCCTCAAAGGCTCAAACACCAACACGGGTAACACTGTTGTTATCAATATGCTGGCTCATAGACTAGATACCTCAGTCAAGACCAATTTAACCATTATCATTTTTCACTATTCTTAAGACCATACCATATATGAAGAAAAGCAAGAATATAGAAAAGGAAGCTGAATCAATTCATAACCCCCAATAATGCAGGTTTACAGCATCTTCATCTTTGAATTCTTATCCAGAATAGATTGTGGGCACAAAATGGATTTCTCACATTATGGAGAATGGAGATACTCTGAATAAATAAAAGATAAGCTTTCTGCAGACAAGAATAGAACAAGTGTTTCCACCAGACACATGGCAATGCAACATGCCAGGAATGTTTCTCAGGGCATTGATTATATTCAATAATTATTTCCTAGTTATTGTCATGTCGCTAACAAAAGGAGCCCAATGCATTGGGCGGCTATAGATGGTTGGGGATAACTTTTTCAATGGATCTTGTTTTGGGGCTCTGAATCATAGTGAGGGATTGTTTCCATCCAATGTAAGAAGCACCTTGTATAAGTCTGGACGCCGATCACGAAATACTTCCCAGCTATGTCTCTTTGATTTGATTTTATCAAGATCAAACTTTGCAACAAGTACAGCTTCCTCTGTACTGTCAGCAGCTTTAACAATTTCCCCAGTTGGTCCTGGAAACAAAATAGAATTATATAAACATAATTCAATGAGGTAAAGTTAATGTATTTTTTGTTTGGCCAAATAATATATGAATGCATGCTGGAAGTAGGAGAGAGAAGAATTAATACCTGCTATGAAGGAATTCCCATAGAATGTGATTTCACTTTTTCCATGCTCTGTCTTAATTATTTCCTTTCCAATGCGGTTCGAGGCAACTAAAGGTGCTTGAATAAACCCAATATCAATTAAATTTCACCTGTATCTTGGCATTTCCCTTCAAAAGTTAGTTATTGAAAAATAGTCATCATCAATGATTCAAGATAAACCCTGTTGTTGCAAGTGGGCTGTGCATCATTATTGGTTAAAAAAGCATGCAAAGTTGCAGCCTTGAAATGATAGTTGCGTGGCAAAATGGTGGTAGCCAAAACATTGGAAAAAAATGAAGTTTGCTTGCTGCATGTATCCATGAAACATGGATGTGATGATGCCCGTGACTTTGCCGCCCAATACATTAATTGTGGGAGGTGGAATTGGGCTATGAGCCACAGCATGAATATCATGCTAAGACTACAAAATGAACAAGTTTAGATCCATCAGTCTGCATAGCTTACCAGATTTGCACCAGCATGCCCCTGCATCACTCGCTTCCAGTGGTCACAAGAGTCTAGTCCATCATCTTGTGGCTCAGAGCCAATAGCAGTTGGGTAAAACAATATCTCAGCACCCTGTAAAACCATAGCTCGTGCTGCCTCCGGAACCCACTGATCCCAGCATATTGCTGATGAAAATACATCAACTGCTTTAGTCCTTCTATGTTTTTAATTTACCGGTACATTGACAAAATAAACGGTACCAGAAGTTGTAATTGCTACATATTGCTACATATGACAAAATACCTGAACTCGAAATTTTATTTAAGAAAAATAAATTTCTTTCACTTGAACAAACATGTTGTTGGTTGCTTTATTCTATTCTCATTCCTCATTCATGTCACTGTTGTACCGCCTCCAGGTCCAGTCGAAATGGTTCTTATTATTGTTCTTAGTCTTTTGAAATCAATCGTGGAGTCGTGTCGGACCCGGGAGTTCTATTAAAGCTTGTTTCTCTCCATTTCTCTTACGGTTACTCAAACTCGACATTTTTCCTGAGTTGAGTTTTTTCGCTAGACTAGCAGGAATTGGTAGGAAAGGCAACGGGTCTCCATCAGGGTGGGGACTTCCTCCCATCTCCATCCGTGTCAATGATAGGTACGGGGATTCTCATAGAAATTTTTTATAAAAAATAAAAAATAGTCTCTATTCCCATTCCTACGGGCAATAATAAGTCTCCGTGGATATTCGGAGTCCTCATCAAATAAAACTTGATACTCATTTCTCGTTTGAAAAATTAACTGAAGATAAAACGAATTAAGAGTCTGAATGAGCCTCAAAATAATAATACGATTATCATTTGCTATGAATGCGAGAAAGAAGCTGTGTGCATGCAGGCATGTAAAAAATAAAATTCACATTATGACAATCTTGCGAACAATTGGAGAAAAAATGAAATTGAAAATAATAAGGCCAAAAGAATGAGATATGCTTCACCTCAAAAAAAATCATCAAGTACAGATACTCAGACACTCACAAATACCCACAGGCAAACTGCAAGTAATAGAAACAGAGCTATGAACACTACCTTTCGAAGGTTGTCAAGAATTATAATTTGAAGGGAATTGAATAAAAATAAAGCCAATGAGCTACAGCACAGAGAATAGGAGACTAGAATCTGAAAAGGAGGAATCGCAGAGCAAATTCGTAAATCTTAGAAATTTGAAATAGTCCTTCTAGTTCTGAGTTGGGTTTGGACAATTAAGTTTAAGAACATTATGAATTGGACTGGACTATATAATTGGGTTTGGAAAAATTAAAAAAAAAAAAAGATTGATCAATTAATTAGATTGAATAAGTAAAAATTAATTATTAATATATTTTTAAAACATATATATAAATAAATTTATTTATTTATTTATTTTATATGGACTTACACAGTTCCCTATGGGACGAAGGATCCAAAAAATAGTATGAGAAAAAAAATATCTCCATCCTTACTTCACGAAAAAAAATATTCTCAAAATCTCCATTTCCATAGCAGGAAAATCTGCAAAGCTCTACGGGTTGTGAAAGAAATTGCGATCCTTAGATATTGGTCGAAATGCTTTTTATGCCGCTTTTTAAACTTCTCTACTACTCTTATAATTTTAAAATTTACCCATGATTTTAAGTAAGATAATATAGAACGTTTCTCCAAATTTTTCTTGCTTTTGTATACGTGTGTATATATATATATATATATATATGTATTGCATACACTTAAGCTGCTTTATACTCTACATGCACTCTTCGTCACCAAAATATATTAATAATAAGATATATAATTTTTACAATATAGAGTGGGAATAAACAAGTGATGCATATAGAAACTTATTAATTATAACTAAATCATGTTTAGAAATTTAGAATCTTTCATTCCTAGCAAATTAAATAAATAGGTAAATATATAAAATTACTTAAAACTGAAAATATATATAGTATTATTTTCAAGAAGGACAATAATTAATAACATTTATTTGAGTCAAAATTAAGAATTCAAACACTTATATTATTGAATAATTAATTTTTTAATATAAAAAAATAGCATTAAAAAAAAAAAAAAAAAAAAACACCCCGATATAGGAGTAGTCAATCGATGAATTGAAGATTCTAACGGAGTTGATGGCCGAAAAGAGAAGATTCTTTCTAACCGAGTAAACGTCGCTTCATTAAAGTGCTTATCGAGTAAGCTTTAACTCAGTTCTTTAATTTTAAAAAGATTTTAACAGACTTACCCTTAATATTAAAACAGAAGTCATTAACATCACGGAACGCCTAGGTCCAGAAAAAGCCAAATCTGTATGTAACAATATGAAGAACCAATTGTGAAAAGGACCTCAAATCCCTTTAAAACATCTGGGGAAAACCATATCTCGAAAGAAACAATCTAAAGTAAAAGTTATCGAATGAGAGAAAGATAATTTGTTCATACAGTATGAATTATTTTCATGCCATCATCCACCGCCAATATCCATCCTCTACGCCGACCTCCTCAGTCCTGGGAGACTTCTACCTTTTTCCCACTAGATTTGAGATACCATCCCAGAGCACCAAGACCAGTTACGGCCCCAGCAACAACAGCATAGTTTCGATATTTATCAGTAGATACTTTTTCAGCTGATGCTCCTGATGTGGTAGAGCTACTTGGTTTAGCATCTGTCACTGACCCTCCTGAACCTGCTGCTGCTGCCTCTTCTGGCTTGGGTCCCTGTTCAATACATGATATCAAGATTAAATCATTACAATTCCTAGTTAATTTAAATAGGAAAACATTAAATATATATCCCATAAAACAAAATTGGGGCACTGTTTCAGGCAAAATTTCAGAACTTGATGAAATATTGTGGCACTTGCAAACCTAAGTCAGAGAAACAGTTAAATGAGAGGAATTTTTTGATACTCTCATTTAGAGTCTAGTCTAATTAAAGACACGAAGTCATCTTACATAAGTAGCCAATATGAATTTTACTATGAATCAATGGTACAAATGAACCACCAATCTGTTTATTAAAGTATAAAGTGACCTGCACAATCAACTTTTAGTCTTTTCTCGTCATTAAGGTGGTAATCTACTAATTTTGTCCAAAATAATGGTCAACACATTTTCTTTTTACTCCAAGAAGTGGTAAGAAACTAGCACATGAACTTATCTTTGCAATTTACTCTCACAAGATGGGGGCTACACCCGAAAGGGCACACATATATCATATATATATATTACTCCGGTCAATGTGTTCAGACACAATTAACAAACCTTTGCAAAATGAAATCTATAGAACTTACTCATAATGCAAAACGGTTAAACGGCCAGCAATTTTGGAGTTTAAAGTACGAATGCACTTAATACTAGAAAACAAGGAAGTGAAATGGCTTTTAGTGGATGTGTGGACTGAAGGCAATGCCTGTGAACCTAAATTTCTAGGCAATTCCACTTGTTGCATAATATCTTGGATAAGTAAATCTTGACCACAATAATAAAAAACTAGACGATAAGAAACTGAACGATAAGGAAACGAGTAAAGTGTGCTTTAACCTAATATTCCATTTTCTAAAATATTTAGATAATATAGATTGATGTAACAGTACCAATATCATACCTTACGTGCAAGCTTCTCCAGTTTCTCTTGCTCAATTTTCTGCAATAGTACACCATTCCATCAGTACATTGACGAGCAGATAGTCGACACTCGACTCCACATGTGTAGGCTGGTATGATGCATCAATATATATTATTGCAGTATTCTAAAGCAAGTTGCAGACATGTTTTCTAACAAAGTAAGGAAGCCTCATAAAGCTCTGCTCAACAATTTCGCCTTCCCTTCACCAAACGACTCCTAATCCTTTTAACTCATATAAAAGCATGTATACCGCAATTCACCATAGGTCACACACAAAGATTCATAGTACTTTTTCAAGAGAAAAGTCTTCACTCTCTCAAGCAACTAACCATCAAATGATATTATCAGCTAAACAGAATCGTTTTAAGTAGAAAAAAACAGTGTTCGTCCATCTCAAACAGCTACAACAAGTTCTACAGTACCGCAATGGCGAGAACATTAACAAATGTACTAAAATCATGAAGAACAAAAACAATCTATGTACCTTGATGTAAACATTCTCAGCAGCCTTTTCCTCCTCGCTGAGGATCTTCCCGCCGGTTGAGAACCTGCGAGATACGACTCTCGAAGCGAATCTCGTTGCCATTGCAATTGACTGTAATTTCTGCGAACAGAATATCAGAAAAAAAGGATCGAATCAAACTCGCGCAATAAATAACAGAAATCAAAAGAGAAACAGAGATTAGATTAACAGGTTGTTATGGATGAAGAAAGAGACTAGACGTCGGAACGGAGGAGAAGAAATCAGAGAAATTGGATTACCGGTGAAATTAAGCGACGGAGAATGAGAGGACCAAAATTGGGAGCTACAGTGTATAGGGTTTGTGTGGGAGGTTTCGAAATGGGCCTGTTTCAAGGAAGGAAGCCATCCGCCGTCCGATTGCGGATTGGATCGGTGGAACCGGGCCTATTACATGATTATTAATAAAATACTACTAGTAGTCACTGGTCAGTTTTGTACAGAGAGACTGTGACTGGACTTCAGAAAGCAATTTTTATGAGATTTTATTTATTCGAGATATTGTATTTATTTCTTTGTTTAATAATATATAAATTATTATAATTTTATAAATTTAATTAAGTAATAATATTATTTTGAATTATTAAAAAATAAAAAATAAAATATTTTGATATTTTAAAATATAAAAAATTTAGAATTTGTTTAAAATATAAAAAATTTTAATTACATAACATCTATCTATCTATCATTAAGTAATAAATGCATTAGTTGTTTTTTAATAAAAATATCGCCTTGAAACTAAATTAGTAAATAATAAAAATCAAATCATATATTTTTTAATTTAAGTATCAACTCGAGAGGATGTAAAATAGTTAAAAAACTAAATTAAAGATTTAACCAAACAAACAATTATTTTTTAAAGAAAAATAATTTTTTTTATTAAAACAAGTTGTTCGGGGAAAAATGTAGGAAAGAGAATTAAACCCTTATCATAGTGAAAAAAACTTATATTAAACTATTAAGCCACTAAACTATTAAGTCACTAAGCTGGCAGATCTTTTTTTTTAAAGAAAAATAATTAAAGTATAGTTTTTATACACAATTTTTTCAATGTAATTTTATATATACTTTAATAATTAATTTTTTTTATAAAAATAAATAATTTTATAAATATTTATTTATATAATAATGACACATAACATATAAAATTTGTAAATAAATTAATGGCGAATCGTTTCCCTTTTACAGACCCTAAAAAAACTCCATTTCATTTCATTTCATTACATTACTAAAAGTGAAAAATACAGACCTATTTTCAATTCTTATTATCAAACAACAAAAAGCTCTAATTGAGACCTATTTTCCTGATCAATCACATCAAGAAACACAGGATCAACGGTTACGTGGCTATCCACGTGGACCTTAAACTTATGGTCCCACCACAACACCTTGGCAGTACCTTCAACATCCACCGTAGCATCTAGAACCATCTCCCTCTTCGCAACATCAGCAAAGAACTTGCCCACGTGATGGGCCAGCTCCAGCCCATCTAGCCGAGCCGGGAGGTGCAACAGCTGGCAAGAGCGGGGCGGCTGGGAGCCGGCCTTCACCTCAGCAGAGCCGAGGAGCGAACCCGCATAGAAAATGGACATGGTGGTGGAGGAGTAGTGGACAGGAACGATGTTGGGGTTGGTGACGTGGACTGTCAGAAGGAGCTCGGCGTCGACTACGGGGAGGCTGAGCTTGAAGGAGGTGAGGCCGATGGAGATGAGATGGAAGGTCGGGTCCTTGGGCTTCGCGCTTAGAAGCACCGTCACCGCCGTCGCTGATGCGGCACCGATTAAGGCGGAGGTCCAGCTCCATCTTGCTTTTTTGCCCATGAAGTCTCTTCCCTTCGCGGCGTTTCCTTTGCTGGCTTTCCGGATCGGAGTTAGGAGCAGCGGAGTTGTGTGGGACTTCAGCTCAGCGTTTTCAGGGCCAAGGTAAGCCTCGAAATTATCATAATGGTATCGCCCGTGATTTATTCGGGAGGGTTGGCTTGAGGGTATTTAAGTAATTTCATAGTCAGGAATTAAGTAAATTACCTGTTTAGCCGCTGTCTGAAATAGACCACAAATTGGGAGAGTTAAAGGCTACTGTTTTTTTTTTTTTTTTTTTT